ACTCTCCTACAATGGACAGGAGCACCTTCCATTATCCCAGGCTGCTCAGAGCCCTGTCCAGCATCAGCTTGAACATTTCTGGGGATGTGGCAACCACAGCTTCTCAGGGCAATCTGTTCCAGTGCTCACCACCCTCACAGGAAAAAAATTCTTCTTAACATTTAATCAAGATCTCCCCTTGTCCCCTATCAGCCTATGCAGAAATTACTGTGGACATGTGCTGATGTGAGAATCACCCTTCAAATTCAAGTTGTTGCAAAAAGTTATGTGTATTCTGTTTTCAGAGCACCGACTGTGCAGAAATCCCACAGCAGGGTAATCCAGCCCATGAGCACCCACAGCAGCTCTGCACCAGCAACTTTTCCCTCTTTTCCCACAGTTCCTTGACCTTTTTCTGATCCCATGAGCTGTGAGGGAGTCATCTCAGGGATATCTGCACTGAGCTGCAGTGATGGAGCAAAGTGCAGGGGTTGCAAAGCCCTGGTGTAACCCAGCTGCTGGCTCAGCGCTGGTGTTCCAGGGCTGAGCGGGGTGCGCGGGTGAGTCAGGTTAGCTGATGGGAAAAGTCACAGTGCTTTCGTGTTTGGAGCCCAGGCCAGCACAGCAGAAGAGCTGAGAGCTCTTGCTCCATCTGTCACCAGCTTCCTCTGCGAGCTGGAGTGTTTATTCACACAGCCAAGACTTGGAAAAGAGCTCAGAAAGCTGTTTTCTTTCCAACCCAGCTGACTGTGCCTCGCATTAAAACGATACGGGTGAGGGAGAGCGGAGCAGCCTCCCTCCCCATGCCCACGTAACGGAGATGAGCTGTGCTCTGCTAATATTTGCAGGCAATAGATTTGGTCAGACTCTAATGATCACCTTCCTTGCTTCACAGGACTTCCTTCTCGTGCTCATCCGTGGGGCTCGTATCCTTGGCTGTCAGCTGTGTAAATTTGCTGAAAAGCAGAACTGCACAAATAACTGATGGGATGAGGGGTGGCCAGGCCAGAAAAAATCAACGTATTTGCCATGGGGTAACCATTTTAATGAAAATTAATTTTAATGAAGTAACTGTTTTTTAATGAAAATTTATTTTAAATAAATTTTAATGAAAATATCTTTTATATTAATGACATAACTATGTTTTGGGCACAGTCTGACCACTTTGTCTGACCACAGTGATCTCTTAAGTATTTTTATAAATTGCTCAGGTAATTGTGATTATCTGTGATAAGTGATATGAGTATCAATATATGAATATGTGATAATATGTGGTAGTGTGGGAGAAGCTTCAAAGAGAAGTGAAATATTTCTGCTAAAAAAAAAATAACGTATTTTATTTTTTTTCACTCGGGAACAATTTCCTGAAATTGCTTTCAGTCAGTGAAACATTGCAGTCAAACCCATCTGCATATTTTCGAAGAGAAAAAATTGCTTTCTTCCACCTTGCATCTTCCCTGGCTGTTAACTTAACTGTGTCCTCACCCATTTCATCCCCTTTACTTGCTTCCTCCTTTTCTCCCGTAACAAATGTGAATTTCCGGTCTTATTTTTTTTTTTCACCCTGCCTAACCCGTTATCTGATCCGTGCTCTCTCAGTCCTGACCTCTCCTTCCTCCAGCTGACCTCTTGATATCCATTTATCTCCTGCTCCCCAAGCCCACCTTTTCCCGTTTTCTTTCCCACAGCCACGGGCTGTGGACAGGGAGGGGTCTGCTGGGAGTTACAGGAATAAGAACAGGGAAAGAAGAATAAATCCAAACCCAAGCTGTACAGGGCTGGGAACAGAGCCCTGTGGCAATATTCCCTGGGCAGCACTTATACCCCGACAACCTGAACTAAAACTCTGAGTCCCACATCCTGCGATTGTAGGTGTGAAGTCAGCATTGTTCCACCTTAACCCCCAAGGATGTGGATTTAAATTAACGAGGTCCCTTCATGACACAAGGCCCCTTAATGATCATTAACCTCGCTCGGTGTTAGGTGCTGTGAATGGAGCACAGGGATTCTGCCCTCCAGGATGCTCTCCGTGCTGGTGAGATCTGATAAAACCTTTCCAGGCTTCCCAGCTGCTCCTCACAGCAAACATGGGAAGGTGGCCGGGAGCCAGCACCGGGCTGGGACGGAGATGTGGCGCTCATATGGCCGGTATCCGATCACGCACGGCGATCAGCGATCGCTAATGAAAGCCAGGGCTCCTCGGAGGGCAACTCTGCAAGCCAGCAGGACACAAGAAAGAGAGCTAAATATTCCCTTCCCCCCTCCACAACTCTTTTGTTCACAGCTGGCTGTCTCCTTCCTTGCCATAAAACAGCAAAGCAGTGGGATGTGTGAGCTCTTCTCCCTGGGATCCAGTGGCAGGACACATGGGAATGGTTCAAAGTTATGTCCAGGAGGTTGGGACAGGATGTTAGGAAGCATTTATTTACTGAAAGTGTGGCAAAACAGTGGAACAGGCTTCCTGAAGAGGTGGTCCTTGCCTCAGGCCTATCAGTGTTTGAGAGGCATTTGGACAATGCTTTAAATTTGACCAGTCCCAAACTGATCAGGCAATTGGACCAGATGATCACTCAAGGTCCCTCCCAAATGAAATCTTCCCTTCCCTTCCCTTCCCTTCCCTTCCCTTCCCTTCCCTTCCCTTCCCTTCCTGCACCTTCCCTTCC